GGAAGGAATCAAAAAGACCAATGATGGACTCGTCGCACAAAACACAGAGTTCGGTTGGATAATATTTGGCGCCATTCCAACAAACGTTGACAACAAAATCAATGTTGTAACAATGACGGCAAAAACAGAAGAACAGGACATATCGAAATTTTGGGAATTAGAAGAAATTGAGGATGAAAGTCGAAAGTTGTCAGAACAAGAAAAGTGGTGCGAAGGTCATTTCGCCAAGACCGTTGTGCGAGGTCAAGACGGGAAATACACTGTCACAGTTCCYTTTAAAGCTGACGAAGACACAACATTAGGTGATTCTAGGTCAAGAGCAGCAGCAAGACTGATTCAGCTAGAAAAACGCTTAGCTAAGGATGTCAAATTAAATAACAACTACAAAGAGTTCATGAGTGAGTATTTACATCTGGGACATATGATCAAAGTTCCTAAATCAGAAGAGGGTCAAAGGAAGTATTACATACCTCACCAAGCGGTTCTAAGAGAATCATCAACCACCACAAAATTGCGTGTTGTATTCGATGCTTCATGCAAATCCTCTAACGGAAAATGTCTCAATCAGATCATGCATGCAGGTCCAAGATTACAACAAGATCTAATAGACATCATTTTGAGATGGAGAATTCATGCGATTGCCTTTACGGCYGATGTCGAGAAAATGTATCGACAAATTAAAATTTCTGACAGCGATCAAAACTATCACAGAATATTGTGGAGATTTTCACCCAGTGACCCAATAAGTGAATATAAGCTTACAACGGTTACTTACGGAACGACAGCTGCGCCTTATTTAGCAATTAGAACAATGCATCAACTTGCTAAAGATGAAAAAGAAAATTCGCCTCAAATTTGTCTATAATTAGTTTTCTCAAGTCTTGAGACAGTTGTTTACATTTAGACATAATTACAACTCTTTAAAGAACAATTTTTATAGGAACTGTTTTTTACTTACTTTTATCCTTAACAAAATAGTAAGAAGTTCACGGTATGTAAAAACCTGATCTAACTTGACCAAAAAGCTTATAAAAAATTATCTTAAGTAGAAGTAAGTCTAGTGAACATAAATCGTTCTCTTCTCATATTTATAAGAAAAATAAATAAAAACTTCAATTGTTTCTTTACTTTTGGCCTGCACTGTATATTAAAAATTGAAATACATATAAAGAAGGAAGTGTCAAAACCGCATTTTCTTTAAATTTTGTGTTGACGTCGTCTCTAAATGGAACCTCTGTAATAACCTTTATAGCTCTTCTTTGTAATTTAAAAATTACCTTTGCCGCAGGGCTGTGTCCCCAGCAGATTCGAGCATACATGATATGAGAAATTATTAATGCATGGAAGGCTATTCACAAGACTGGGACATGTACTAAATTTCTCAGTAAGAAAGTATTTTTTTTTCGCAACCATTGCCACATGTGGTTTCCAGCAGAGAGTGGAATCCATTTGTACTCCAAGAAATTTAGTACTTGGTGGATTTTCTAAGTTGCCTGGTTTAAAAAAGCATTTGTCCAAAAAAAGATATGTTGAGCTGTTATCAGCGAAAAAATCGACTATTCCATTAAAAAGTTATTAAAGAAAAACAAAAATAACTTTTAAACTTTGGCGTTTTCTAACTTTTAAACGGTGCAACGTCGTATAGAGATATTGGGTTAAATAAACATCTTTTTGTTACACCCTGTATACTATTCAAGCAGTAACTGATTTTTAAATTGCACGAGAAAACTGATAGAACAAAATTATTATTCCGAAAATTCTTAATATTTTTTTTTAAATAATACAATATTAATACATAGCACGTAAAGCAGTTCACAGGTTTGACTATAATGACACAGAATAATAGTCAAATCAGGTCAGGTCGGGTTTAAAAAGAGAATTATATTATTATATTACACCAAAAATATTTTATTATTATTTGATTGTTTTTCTAAAAACACAAAAACTTTTACAATTTTCTTCCAAAAGAGTTGCTTTTTTAAAAAACCCCAAAAACCTTTTTTATTGAATAAAGAAAATCTACTTTGTGATCAGTCTGCAAAAGTAGAATTATATAAGTTGTTGCAGTTCCACAAACCTGATAAAAAGCAAATTTAACAAAAACTAATAATATTATTTAACGAAAAAAATTGATACAATACCGATGTAAAAATTGGTAAATCAATCAAAAACACGCTACCAATTTGTAAACGTTCGTGAAGCAACTGTAGACCAAATGCATTTATCTAAAAAAAGAAATACAATTTTTGATTTTAAAAATGACTAAATTACCTCCTTCACAAGTGATTTATTTTTTGAATGCCCCACCGCATATTTAGCCAATTTTTGTCTTAACTCAATCGACTAAAACAATAAAATTAAATACATTCAAACAAATATTTGACATTTACTCGAAACATACACTTGTGGCAAGAAAAAGTCAACGCCATTTTTTCAGTCACAATGAGAATAATCCAAATGGCTGAAGCAATAGAATACTTGAGATACGGACTGTTGTTATAAACGGCACAAATAATACTAAAACTTTGAAACGTGATAATGACAAAACCAACAGTAAACGAGAATAAAATTTGTGCTGCAAAAATTCTATTTGCAAGTTGTAACAAATCGTAAATTTCTTGATGCAATTTCATTACTTCTATCAAGGAAACTTGCCGGTAGAACGGCTTGCAAACAAGCATGTTTTCGGTTTTTTCCTTCAAATTTTCAACCATATTAGTTATTATGCGGATTACAGTCATGAAGAAGCAAGTGGATGAAATGTAATTCAAAACAGCCAAATATAAAAGTCCATAAGTAATAAATGCTTGAATTCGATTTCGAAGAACTTGAGTCGTCAGTAAATAAATTAAATAGAGTGTAAAAGTACAAAACCCGATCAAGAGAACTTTAATCGAAAAATATTTCATATTTTCATATTTCAGTTTAATGCCATTATCTTGCATTTTCTTATCAACTTTGGAAATCTTATATAAAAACTCAGTCATTACTTGTCTTTGAACTCTTGAATAAATCACATTCGTTGATATTAATCCACTCACGATTATAAAATATACCGTTGTCATAAATTTCACCAAAGCACTGCTATCAAAATCATAAAAATTCATCAAAGAGTAACGATGATAAATAAACAAAATGATAAGAAATAAAATGAGAATTGTAAAATAATCATAAATGCGTCGATTACTTATTTGCAAATTATTTCTGATTTCTAATATTTTAATTGGAGCACAACCGATCAAAAATTGACCAATATAACAAGGATACAAACTTGTGATAATGTTACTAGCAGACATCGCAAAGAAATAAGCTCGAAAGAATTAATTTAAATTTTATTATTTGTGTAGGTGGGATAATTTTCTAATAGGAAAAAGCTGTAAGTTTTACCTTGACCCAGTAATTTGTGTCAATTATTAGAAATTGTCACAAATGGAAATCGATGAAGGCACGTAATAAACTTATTTATCTACAGTTGCTCTAATAAATCGTCGTTCTATCCACACATTTCACACTGTTCTAATAATAATTGAAAATAAAATTGATGTAATTTCGTTGTAATTTTTTAGGAGAGCAACATTTCTACTTAATGAAATTTGGTTTAAATTTTATGTTTAACAGTTCATTTTTGAAGTTTTTGAGCAAAAGTTATAATGGCTAGATTTATATGGCGAAAAACGGAATTTTAGTAAAAAACATTAAAGTTTTCTTGTAATTCCAATTTTTTTTAAGAGTTTCTTGACTGTAACTTTAATATTATTTTTACCTTTTTTAAATTGTATTTTAAAAAAATGACTATTATACAGGGTAAATCATTTATAATTAACACCCTAATCGATTTTCAGACGCAATCCAAAATACAACAAACAGATGTGCAGCGCAATGTAAAGCTAAACAAAATGCACCAGAAGGATAACACAGACGTTGAAATGAAAAGATTTATTGGTGTTTTACTGTTTATAGGACTTGTCCAATATCTAAGCATTGAGTCATATTGGTCAAAAATGCCAATACAGAGTGCGCCAGAACTCGAGCTCCAGAGAAAAATGTCATGTATGGCAAAATACTATAACGAAGCGTTTGGGATTTTCCACCGTAAACACCATACGTCATCGGCGTGCGCCGTCCATGGGTATCCCCACCGAATTCGACCGTGTTTGTTTACCTCCGAAGCGAATAAAAGGCGAGCGCGACTTACAGTCCGACACAAAGAACAGATAGATAAAGAAGCGACAGCGCCGTGTTAATTTAAGGAAACAAACAAATTATGCCGATTGCGCCTCTAGTGATCGGGTGTGTAACTAAGCGTCATGTTGGAATGCCCCGCGTAATTTGAATATCTGGGTATTTTATGTACTTATTATAGTTTGCGTTATTAATTTTATACAAGTAAGTATACTCAAAATTTGTATAAAAAACTTGTAAAATGAATATATTTATATGGGGACTAAGGAAGTGACACACTATTTTTTAAAATTCCAATTTTATTACATAATACATTAAATACTTACATAATATGTAATTCTTTCATGTACAACTTAATTTCAATAGTCGTTTAAACACATTTTCCGTTTAAAAAAATACTTTCCAGTTTCATAGGATAGTTTACGGAGGCACAAACGTGATTTTCTTCATCTAATCGAAATTTTAATGATAAGTAGAAGATAGTTGTAAAAAGCTGATGAATTTTCCATAAATTGTTCTCGCCATTCAGAAACCGAAAATAATATAATGTTAACAATTAGAAGAAAAAAAAAAGAAAACGTACCCTTGCTTTTTTCGCAATAAGTTGAAATCCCCTCACCTAGTTCAGCCTGTGGATCAACACAGTTTACCGGAGTGTGACCGCCATCTTAAAAGATAACTTCTTGGAGTCATAGGTGAGAGTTGGAAATAGTAGAAAAAGCCCTATCTGTTGAAGCCGTTTTATAATATAAAACGTGATCGTCCAATAGAAATTTTGGTACTTCTCCTACATTTCCCGTACACCCCAAAAAAAAYMWAAAWWAAA